ACACAGGGCAACCTTATCTCGAATAACAAAACAAAACAACATCACAAGAGTTGCTGTGGTCATGGTGTCTCTTCATAGCAATAGAAACCCAAACAAAGACATAAGTCAAGCCTCCATCTTGTAAATGTTCTCACAGCCTTCGAAATAGTAGCCCCGGCATTCAGAATATGAGCCTGAGGCCAGGACTGTAGCTCAGTGACAGTGTTGCTTCGCATGCACAAAATTGCTGGGGTTCAGTGTCACGTAACCTGAGGGTACGGGTACTTATCTGTGATCCCAGAACTTGTGAGCTGGGGCGGGAAGACCAGGAGTTCAAGGCCGTCATGAGTTGGAGGTCAGCCTAGGATTCATGAGACCCTGTCAAAGAAGAAGAGTGAGCCAGTGGGGGATAGATCAGACTCAAACCACAGCAGTCCCTGTCTCCTGTCCTATCTCAGTTTCAGACTGTCCTAGTCTCAGTTTCCTCATCCGAGCCATCTGGGCTGAAGTGGTGGCTCAGGTAGTGACGCTTGCAACTGTAATGGGTTCTAGCATTGTTCCAGGCCATTGTCACTGGGTCACTCACTCTTAAGGGACAGCTAGGCATCCCAGACAGTGCAGCATGGGAGGCCACCAGCTGACCTTCCTGAGTGTCCCAAGCTTTTCTCAGGGACTCCATTTGAAATGTGCCGTGGAGAGTGGCCAGGGGGACACATGCTGCTGAATCCAAGCTGACCTTAAAAGGAATGTCTAAAAATAGGTCCAGGTGAGAGAAAATGTCCCAGACAGGGGTGCTTTTCCTTAAAGCTTGAGGCAAGCCTGTGTGACCTCAGTCCCCTGCTGTCTGTCTATTCAAGGAGACAGCCCCACCCAATTCCAGCCTTTCTGGCATCTTCTACCCACAGTGAGGCCAGAGTCGCTGGGTCACAGGAACGTGCAGTCCCCCATGGAAACAGCCTTCCGAAGCTGGGCTGGGCTTGGTCTCTGGGACCTTGCACTTCTGGCTTCTGAGTTCCTTCATGTAGCCTGGTGGGGTCCTACAGTGTGCCTCACGACTCCCAAGACTGTGTCTAGCACAATGTCCTTTCTGGGCTAAACATTTCTCCTGGCGGCCCTGGAGACCAAGCCAAATTCATTACGTGTGACTACCTCCAGTTGTACCCTCCCTCCATCTGGGAGTCCAGCCACGTCCATCCTCGGCTGGTCCCTATGATATCTGTCCTCCAAATCCCTCTAGGCTCAGCTACACTCCTCATCTCTCCACATCCTGTCCCCTGGTCATTCATAGAGAAAACAAAAAGCATTTTCTTTTCCTTCAAAGGAAGGACAGGAAAATAAATAGCAGATGGGAAAGAAAGAGATCTGTAATTTTTCAGGACAGGGTCCTGGGAGAGTAGAGTGGTCTACTGAAAAGGCAGTGGGCTGCCCCTTACCTAGTGTCTCCAATTTCCAGTTATTGCCTTGTACGGCAAGCTACCCGCACAGCCACGCTGGGCACACTTGGAAGCGGCTCTCTTGAAATTCCACAGTTAGGAGTCTGAGATGAGAATTTCGGACTTCAGGCAGATCCTGTACCTTTTCTGGGGGTCTTTCTTGGGGGTGCTGACAGAACCCCTCCTTTCCATGCTGCACAGGTCTTTCAGAAAGCAGATGGTGAGCAGGGAGCCTGGCTCGCTCCCCCAAAGTGCTTGCCGTGCAAATATGAAGAGTCAGTAGGGGTTCACTCAGCACAACACCTCGACAGTCTGGCCTAGTGTCATTGTGCTGCGCTGAGGCGTCCTTGGACCAGAGACATACCTGTTGACAAAAGAGGCCGCGTGCCCCCCCTAGCCCCATGATGGGACCCTCCTGTTTCCATGAAGGGGACAGAGTGGCTGTGTAGTGTGACAAAGACCTCTGCGGACAGAAAGTCCCTTCAGTTCCTGGTGCTGCTGAATTCGTACTTGTGTCCTGCAGGCTCTGAAAGTCCCCGGTCACCTCACAGATGCCACTGTGGAGGGCCATGCCAATGTCCATGGAGTGGCATATGCCCTCCTCTGTAGCCCACTGGTATGTGGGGACCAGAGCAGCAGGGTTAGTGCAGCTCCCCCCAAAGTCACCCCAACTTCACGCCCAGCCCAGTGCCGGGCCGCCAGCTCTGAGTTTTTGCTGCTGTTGCTTTCTTACCATGGCTTTGAGAAAATGACTGAACCAAGGAACGAGGCCGAGAACCTCCCAGAAGGTCACAGGCCATTATAATTATAAGGACAAAAATAGGGAAGGTGCTTGCAAGGTGGCCTGTGACATACAAACCTGAGGCATTGTCAGTCCCCACACGAGAGCCCAGGCTGGCCAGAGGCCTGCAGAGAAAACAGTCGGCTTGCCTGAAGTATGGGTCTGCCCTGGGAAACCTGGGAGCACCATGGAGGTGAGTTACCCACAGACTTCCTCCTCTATTCACTTCTTTAACCCCATGACCCGGAAGCACTTTATGGAGTTCTAGGAAATGGAAAGGAAACATAATGGAAGGACATGGTAGAGCCATTGGTGTTTAAATCATTTTCTCTTCCTTCCTTCCCTCCTTCCTTCCCTCCCTCCCTCCCTCCTTCCGTCCCTCCCTCCCTCCCTCCCTCCCTCCCTCCCTCCCTCCCTCCCTCCCTCCCTCCCTCCCTCCCTCCCTCCCTCCCTCCCTCCCTCTCTCCAGGCCTGCCTGACTACCTGCCTTTCTTTTTTTGTTCTGCAGATATGATCCCTAAGGAAAAGTCTCAACCTAAAGATAAAATGTAACTCTTTGGATTATATTCGACTCAAATACATATTCCTGGTGTCTAGCCTCAGCCATGGCCAGGACCTTTCAATGGAGTTCAGAATCCTCTCCAGTTCCCAATGTCTCGGGACAGTCTCTTGTCTAGCATCTCTGGCTTGGCTGTGATGCTAAGGACACAGGCTGTGGTACCGATGCTGTGTTAGGGGTCACCTCAGCTGTGAACTCAATGTCCAACCACTGGCGCACTCAGGCAACGTCTGCAGACATTTGTGGTTGTCGTATTGGGGATGTTCCTGGGTAGGGCCAGGAGACTTGTTGCACACCCCGAGGTCACAGTCCAGCCCCTCTCCTTGATCTCTAGCCCTAAAGACTTGTCTGGTCTCAGATGTCAAGAGTGCAGAGCTGTTATTCTCAGGGAACAGGCTTGGACTCAGTTGGTAAACTGTTTGCTTAGCATACAGAAGTCCCTGGGTTTGATCCACAGCCCTGCATAGTCACATCCGTCTGTAATCCCAACTCAAGAGGCAGATGCAGGGACATCAGAAGTCCTTGGTCAACCCGGGTTACGTGAGACCCTGTCTTAAAAAAGAGAAAGAAAAGAAAGGAAGAGAAAGAGAAAAGAGAACCCGGAGGTTGGAGGGATGGCTCCGTGACTGAGAGCAATGACTGCTCTTCCAAAGCACCTTGCTCAATTCACGACTGTCTGCAGCTCCGGTTCCAGGGGATCTGACACCCTCATACAGACATACATGCAAGCAAAACACCAGTGCACATGAAATAAAGATAAATAAATATTAAGGAAGACAGAAAATAGAACCCCCGTCTAGAGGGTCCTGTTCCCTCTTGGGCCTCAGTGTCCTCCTCATCTGTGTAGACTGCAGGTGGGGAGTGTCATACAGAAGGAGTGTCACCACACAGAAGATCCCTAACAGCACCCACCGTCTAATTGTCTCTGGCTCCACAGTGACTCAGGTTCTGTGACACTTGCTTCCTGTCCCTGAGACACCAAGGCCTGTTAATAGCATCTCTAACGCCAGGGCATCATGTGAGAGGCACCAGTGGGAGGCTGCTTGCAGCTCCCAGGAAATGTCACCCTGGGAGGCAGACACCCTGGGCCCCCACAGCCTTCTCTGGTTTGTCTCCGAGCTCCTCCTTAAACTAGGAGGCACTGGGCCCAGCATTTCCAAACACTTGTGGGGCTGGCCTCTTTCAGCCTGCTGTGAGTGCAGATCTAGAAACTGCAGGAGATTCCCAGTGTGTCCTAACTGCCGTTGAGTTTCTTCTCCCCAGGTGAATGCAAGGCAAGCACACGCAGTAGGTGTTACACACAGTAGGTCCTAGTGATGACACTTAAGGTCAGAGTTTCTGTCCTTCCATTCTACCAGCTTGGGGACTGGGCTGTCCCATCCTCTGCCTTCTCTCCACAGGCCCCTGTATTCTTCATTTTCTGGGAGTGGGATGCTGAAAGGGACCTGGGTCTGGAACCCACACCCTTCTGATTTTGTGGTTGACCTCCCGGGTTCATCACTTAGCCTCAGAGCTCTGTATCTGTTGCCTGTGCTGGCAGAGGGCGGCACTTCCAACCCTGACTCTGCCTTCATGCTGTGGCTGCCCGGAAGGCTGCCGACCACTCACTCAGAGTAGCCCTGTGGTCTGCGGCTCATCCTCCTGCTTCCTGTCCTCCCTCCCTGCCTAGCTGTGGGCCAGCACCTTGTCCGGAGACTCACATTTCCTACCCTCCTCCCTGCATCTGGGGGGTGTTTTGTTATGCAGCAGAGGCTGGCTGATGTGTGTGGCATAGAGTAGAGGAATCTGAGTGTTCTTGAGGTCGGTCCCATTGGAGAGATGACAGGGAGGTGAGAATCCAGAGTGGCCACAGCCCTAGGCACCCCCAGGCAGGTCTGGAAGCCTGAAGTTGGGTATCAGATGTCAGGGACCAAAAATTGTGAGCAGGCAGGAAGGTGGGGGCAGGGGAAGCTGGGTCTAAGGTTGTTATTTATAGCAAAAATTTAAACAAGGAAGTTCTGTCAGTTTCCTGAGTTACTGACAGTTGCGGAAATGTTAATAGAAATCTTTATACGACCGGCCAGATGTTCCATATTAAGCACACATCTGTTTTATATGAAAGACTTTCTGTACCCACCACCCTCTGTCTCTTTCTCTCTCTTTCCCCTTAGCACCCCCTGTCTTGATCCCGGGCACAATCAGGGCACTCTCTGAGGGTAATTGCTTCAGTTCTGGTTTTATTTAGTTTCTGAATACCCGTGTCCACGGTGTCAAAAATACACCCCAAAAAATAACCCTGGGAAAGGTTAATGATGGCCTTTCTGGTGTCATATTCTGCGCTTGATGCGTGGCGGTAATTATTATCATTAGGCCTGCAGGAATGTCTACTTATCTTTCTTAATCACATACTATACAGAAGCGCTTCTGAACACATATCTATTATTTAATCAAAATCTCACAGTTATTGGCGTTTGTGCTCTACCAGGGCTGTGTTTATTTTCTCTTTGCATGGGGGAGCGTTGCCTCCCAGAAAAGAGGGGGCCCCCTAAGTCCATGCCCACCTTTACCGCTGTCATAGCTTCTGACACTCGGTGCTATTAATATCGGAGACACCACATACAGGCTCACATAGCATTCTGGGAAGAGCACCCTGAGTAACAAATTGGGGGGATGTACGCCTGCCTGGAAGAGGAGGTCTAGTAGGGTGAGCCCTTGGAGGTGTGTGTCTCCATGGAGAGGGAACAGACCGGCTTGGCGAGGTCACCGTGAGTTTCTTGACGTTTAGCTCTTGCTTTGAATTCCTGAAGTTGGCTTTTGTTCTTCAGATAGGATTTGTCCTCCCCCGCGCCCCTGGGGTTTGCCCCTGTATGTGGGCAGCTTGGTCCACAACATAGTGATGTGGCGACTACTGTATCATTAAGAAGTGAAGTATAGGGGCCAGGAGGTGGTCACTGATCCCCAGCACCAAAATGGAAGAGCTAGAGGTGGTGGCGTGTTCCTGTAAGCCCATAGAGGTGGTGGCGTGTTCCTGTAAGCCCATAGAGGTGGTGGCGTGCTCCTGTAAGCCCATAGAGGTGGTGGCGTGCTCCTGTAAGCCCATAGAGGTGGTGGCGTGCTCCTGTAAGCCCAGCACTGGAGACGGCGGCAGGAGGAAACCTGGGACTTGCTCACCACCCGGTCTAGCTGATTGGCAGGCTCCAGGTTCAGTGAGGGACCCTGTCTCAAAAAATAAGGTGGGGGAGCAGTAAAGTAAGATACCTGACATTCACCTCAGCCCTTCACATGTGCATGCATGCATATACGTGTACATGCTCAAGAAAACACATGCAAGCACACACCTAGTAGGAAGTCACTGAGGACTCTTGAAAAATATTAATTCCTATGAGACAGCCAAGCAGTGGCGGCGCACACCTTTAATCCCAGCACTCAGGAGACAGAGGCAGGTGAATCTCTGAGTTTGAGGTCAGCCTGGTCTACAGAGTGAGTTCTAGGGCAGCCAGAGCCACACAGAGAAACCCTTTCTTGAAAAATGAAGAAAAAATAATCCCCATGAGACCCTGGTTAGTCACTACCAGAGCAGGGCCAGCCCCTTCCAGGTCCCCTCTGGCATTATAACTTGCCATGGGATCTCTTCCTCTGACATGTTTCCTCACCGTGGTGCCATTATTCTCCACGTGATGTGGTACAGCCAGGGGGCCCCTGCTGGAGGTGGAATTGACGGGGCTTCTCAGTGTTGGATTGTCTGACTTAGAAACTAAGGTACACAGAGCATTTTCCGCAATCAGTACCCAGCCTCAGGCTCTTTGTTACAGCAATGGGCAGTGAACTGATACGAGCCCATCCTGTTCTTTTTGCAACGGGGGGTGCTTTAAGCCCCTCTTCTCTGTTACCCAGGCAGAAAACATTACCGTTTCATTTTTACAGACTGGGAAACTGAGGCTCAGAAAGACTTCATTGCTCAGGGCCAGCTAAGTGCTGAGCTGGGACTCAGGGCTGCGGGTCTGGTATCTTGGTTTTATCATAAAGCCCCCGTAGCCCAGTCTGCATGTGTGTGGCCTGTGGTGTGGGATCTCAGCCACACACAGAAAACAAAGAGCTTAACCCCCAGAGGCCCACCCCACCAGCCATGCCTCCCGCCTTGTTGATTCTGCAGCCTCCCCAAAGAGCATCACCCCCTGGGGAGGCTCGGGGATGTCCCACGGCCAGGCACGGCTGTCATGGAGTGACTGTAAGGAAACATAACATTGAATTTCTGGAGTTTTCCTTTCAACTTTTATGATACAGTCGTGGTCACATCTTTTTACAATTTTTAAGAGATGTTGGCTCCCGACTTCAGTGGACTCATCCTTAATGTTCCCTGGTCCCCTCCTGAGGTCTTATGACATCCTTACCTTATCCTACCCAGTACATCCTCATCATCATGGTGGGACCGATTCTGGAGATGGTCAGCTCTCCTCTAGGCCAAGGCTGTGTGGAGTGGGCCCTCTGGCTCCAATGGCAGTGGATGTTCTTGTGGGATGGAGTGTGGTCCTTTGTTGGGAGACATTATAAAGCCATGATGTTCTGTGTCACCCCAGAATTGACACCCCTGGAAAGGAGAATGCTGAACTTGAGTGTATAATCACATCCTATCTGTATGTGGGCCATGATTACAGCCCGGGGAAGTCAAAATACAACCTGGGGGGGGGGGCTGTTAAAGTGATTGAAACATGGAAATGAATCTGAAAGAGAGGTCTAAATCTTACTTGGGGTAGCATGACTGTTGAAATAAATAACCATAATAATTCCATACATTTTATAGCTGATGGGATCTTTCTTACAGACGACTTCATTTGGCTGGGCTAGGAAGGATAAATCTTTAAGTTTGAGTCTCTCTGGGAAGTATGACTCTCTAGGCTGTACTACATACACCGCTGCCTTCTTTTTTATTTTTTTTTAAATTTTACATATAAATCCCAGCTCTCCCTCCCTCCCCTCACCCCGCCCCCATCTGCTCCTTAGAGAGGGTATGGCCTCCCATGCGGAGTCAACAAAGTCTGCCCCATCACCATGGTGAGGCCTGGCCAAGGCCCTCTCGTCCATGTCTAGGCTGAGCAAAGTATCTCTCCATAGGAAATGTGCTCCGAAAAACCAGCTCATGCACTAGGGATAGATCCTGGACCCACTGCCAGTGGCCTCATAAACTGCCCAATCCACCTACTGTCACCTGCATTGGGGGGGGGCATTCCTAGTTGGGTCCTATGCAGGTTCCACAGCTGTCAATCTGGAGTCAGAGAGCTCTCACTAGCTCGGGTCAATTTGTTTCTGTGGGTTTTCCCACCATGGTCTTGACCCCTTTGCTCACATTATCCCTCCTCCCTCTCTGTGACAGGACTCCAGGAGCTTGACCTAGTGGTTAGTTGTGGATCTCTGCATCTACTTCCATCAGTTGCTGGGTGAAGGTTTGACAATTACAGAGGAAGCCAGTTCAGTCCCCCTCTCCATCAGATACTGGGTGAAGGTTTGACAATTACAGAGGAAGGCCAGTTCAGTCCCCCTCTCCACTATTGCTTAGAGTTTTAAATGGAGTCATCATTGCATATTCTTGGGGATTTCCCTAGTGCCAGGTTTCTTGATAATCCAAGATATCTCTTTCCTTGCTCTCGCTCTCTGTCCTTCCCCCGACTTGACCTTCCTTTCCCTCATGTTCTCCCCACTTCCCCTCCCTCCGCCCCCTCCCCTTCCACCCTCCCCGCTTCCTCTTCTGCTCCCAATTTACTCAGGAGATCTTGTCTATTTCCCCTTCCTAGGCAGATCCATGCGTGTCTCTCTCAGGGTTCTCTTTGTTACCTAGCTTCTTTGGGTTTGTGGCGTGTAGTCTGGTTATCCTCTGCATTATGCCTAATATCCACTTATGAGTGAGCACATATCATATTTGTCTTTCTGGGTCTGGGTTACCTCACTCAGAATGTTTTTTTTCCCTAGTTCTGTTCATTTGCCTGCAAATTTCAAGAAGTATTGTCTTTTACTGCTGAGTAGCACTCCGTTGTGTGAATGTAACACATTTTCTTTTTTCATCCTTCGGTTAAGGGGCATCTAGGTTGTTTCCCCAGCTGCCTTTTTAGTGGTCCCTGTGCATAGCTTCCCTGTTCAGTCTCCAGCCCAGAAACTTGCCAGAGTCTGGAAGACAAGCTCTCAGCTCCTCATTCTGGCATTCAAGGCCCTCAGGACCCCATGGGAACCTCACCTCCTCCTCAGCTATGTCTCTGTCCTTGTTATCATGTCTCCTGTGTGTGTCTGGCCGAAGACTTCCTGTAGCGGGGTGCACAGCCTTTGCACCAGTCCCTCCCCCAATAACACCCCTCCCTTCCCCTAAATTCTTAAGGGCTGTGGACACCTCTCAGTTATCTGCGACAGGAACATCTATCTGTGTGTTAGCTCCCTCAGAGTACTCTCTGATTCCCCCACCAGAGGCAGCCTGTCTCACATGAGGATACCAAGCATGAAGTGGGGAGGCTCAGGTGTCTGGCTGCACCTACCTGGTTTGGTCCTCTTACCAGCTTCCTGAGGACAGCAGCAGGTAGCCCTGTCCCTACTTCCTGAGAAGAAATGGCCCGGAGAACAGCTTTGCTCAGGGCAACCATGATTCTGGCTTCTTGCTCTGGAGGAAGTGAAACAGGGAATGGGTCCCAGCAGCCCATGTCCAGCTGGGGCTCCTGGGGCTCCAGCAATGCTGCCCACAGATGTAGTTACCCATGTGTTTGGTCCCAAGCTCCTTATGATGATATACGGACACAGTCACTGACTTTCCATGGGAAGAATGCAGCCTCTCACTCCTGGAAAAGCCCCATGTATGGGGGAGTCATCTTCCAGGTCTAGGTTAGGTACAAGAGCCAGAGAGTGCTTGTACAGGGACTCTTATGAGAGAGTGGGAATTTCTGGGACAACACAAGCTGAGCAGACTGGAGCTCCTCACACAGACAAGGAACTGTCAGCATGTTTCAAGGTTGCAAGTGGAATTTTTCCAGGTCTTTTTCAGGTAAGCATGATGACCTTGCTGGTTACCTGAGTTCCTCTCTCCTCCTGTATGAAGGCAGGAACACACACAAATTTAAACACATATGCGCATACATATAGGCACATATGTACATACACTATGCACAAGATGTACACATATACACACATATTCAGACACATGCAAAACCACATATATACACATGCACATACATATTATGAACATATGCATGCATGTATACACATACACAGGCATATACAAATGCGGCCGGGAAGTGGTGGCACACGCCTTTAATCCCAGCACTCAGGAGGCAGAGGCAGGCGGATCTCTGTGAATTCGAGACCAGGCTGGACCGACAGCCTCCAAAACAATACAGAGAAACCCTGTCTCATAAAACCAAAAAAAAAGCATATACATATGCATACGTATGGTATGTACACATGGATATACATATGCATACATACATGCACACACATACACATGCATATACATATACACACAGGCACACATATAAACACATTTACATGCATGCACATACATAAATGCATTTACACACATTTACACCCACATACACACACATACATATAAACATACATATACACACATTTGCACACATATATACATGAACACACATGCACACATACATGCATGTACAGTTTACACATGCATGAACACATATATACACATATGCATTTACAACACATGTACATATGTATATAATGCACACTCATATACACACATACCTGCATACACACACACATACACATACACAGGCACATACACACACAATGCTGAAGTGAGAGTTAACTCCTTCATCACGGTTCTTTGACTATGCTTTCTTGGGGTGCACATGCCACCATCTCTAATAGCACCTCATTAATGTTCCTGCAAGTGAAGACCCACAGGAGAAGTTTAAGAAGTTGAATGCTGATTGCAGAGTTTGATTTTCTATTTTCTTGTCTGATGGGTGAACTCAGGACCAAACCATTTAAAAACTCTGTAAACAGAACCTGAAATTGAAGGATCTGCTCAATACTTTAAAAAAATGAAGTTTTCTGCTTGTAACCCTCTTCATTTTTCCAGTTTTGTCCTTTTCCTTTATAGATGAAGAGTGGGAAATGCTCAAATTAGGACGTGAGGTTAGGAGGAGCCTAAGTTGGGCTGAGCCGCCTGCTGCTCCGGAGCCTCTCAGGAGGCAAAGCAAACACGCGTTGGGAAAGAAGTCCCATCCCCGGCAGTATTTCCTCTCTTCCTTCCTCCTTGGGTATGTGTGTATGTGGTGTGTGTGGCACACATACGTGTGTGTGTATCACTGACTGTGAGCTTCCATGTGGAGATCAGAGGACATCAGGAGGCTTCCTCTGGCACAGTTTATCTTTGAGACAGGATCTGTTGCTGAGCCTGAAGTAGGCTGTCTGGCCAGCAAGCTCTGGGGATCCACACGTCTCTGTTCAGCCCAAGGCTTACATGACTTTTATGTGGAAGCTGAGATTTGAACACAGGTCCTCTTGTTTCCACTGCAAGTTTTCTTACCTGTTGAGCCAGCTCCTGCCCACCTCAGTTTCTTCTTTTGTCACTTGTCCCTGGTTTGTTTCTCTGCTCATTAACTTACCCCCACCCCACTTCCCCTTCATCCTTCAGTGTTTAAACCCTGCCTCCCAACTCTCAACATTTTAAAAATTCTTAATGATGCAACCTGAAGTTGCTATGGCAACCAATTTTCCTTGCCTCGTTGGTGGTACAGGCCTGTGCCAGAGCTACTATTGAAATCACAAATAATTTTCCTTTTCTTTCAAAATTAAGTAAGGTGTCTAAAGTGTTCCTCTGTGGCTCTCCCTGCCCCCAAAGGACAGGCATGCCCTGTCCCAGCTACCCAGTTCATACAGTTCTTGGTATCCTGATGACGCCTCCTCGGCTGCCATGCACCGTCCCTCTGGAAACATAACGGGAACATACTCTTTGTTATTTCTCTTTTGTTAGCACTAGAAACGCTTCCTCTGAAGTCTAATGACATTTGATGTCACCTCCACCCCACTTTTAATTGCCTTTAGTTTTTCATTCTTAAAAACATGCAAGTTTCTTTTTCCTTGACCAGTGAAGGCAGCGTAGTGAAGTGTGCTCCAGGGTGTGGGGAGATACTTGGGCCTGAAGGTCGCCATTGTTGTCAAGGTGGGTGCTGGGTGCTCTTCCTGGGAGCTGCCTCTGTCTCCTAAGCACTGAAGTGAGTCCAGGCTTCCTGCCCTCTTCCTGAATTGCGGCCCCTTGCTCCTTTGCTAGTGTGACACGGTCCTGAGAACAAGTCATTGAACTCCCACCCTCAATAAGAGCAGTTGCTGCTGAGGGGTCAGGACAACATCTGGCCTTCAGTGAAACAGGGGGCTATAGAACGCAGGGGTCTCTAATTCCGGGGACCTTGGGCAAACAAGAGCATCAAGAGGAGGGTGGGGTGGTGTGAGGATGCCTTCAGGGGCTGGCTGTGTCTTGGGAAGCTGGCCAAGGAGAGGACAAAGTCATCACTGTGTCCTTCCCCATGGAAGGTCCAAGCCTCTCCACATGGATTACCATTCTTGTTTTGCTTCTCCGGGTTCTGGAGCACTGTTAATATTCCCCCACTGCTGTTGGATATCAGACCCAGGGCACTCCACCACAGAGCATGCCCAGCCTTCCTCCTGCCCATCCCTTCCCTGTAGTGGCATCTTGTTTTGCCAGTGAACTTGTGGTAATGCTTGCGGTGGTGGCTGGCGAGCTTGGCTCCGGGTCGTGGAACACCACAGTTGGTCAGCCGCGTGGGCTGATCGTGGGAATCAACCTCCGTGGGTGCCAATTGAAGGCGGGGTTTAAATGAGTCCACCAGACCCAAGATAAATGATAATTAGGTGTTTATTAGGGAAGCACTTACACAGATAAGAGTAAATAACTGCCTCGGTCTCCCTGCTCCAGAAGACACAGTCTGCACTTCTAATGCTCTTACTGCAACCCAAGAGAGTGGGCCAGCCCCTCCTTTACCTTAAAAGGGAGGTCACATCTGCACACCTGAAGCCACGCCCATAGGGTGTGGCCATTATCCCAAGTTCACTGGCAAAGCAAGATGCCACTGTATTTCCCTCCTCTGGCAATAACAGCAGCCGTCTCTACATGAGTCCCTCCTGCTTCTCTCCTGTCCCTCACCCAGTCCTTGCCTACCCTCTCTGAGAGCCTCTCCCCAGGACCTCTCTCCAGCTGTACTTGGGCCATCTCCCAAATGTGTCTCCCTACTAGGGGTTACCTTGAAACACTGCTGCTCCTCTACCTTGTAGACTTCCTATCCGGTCCCCAGCAAGTTCCACCCAGAACCCATCATTCATCCTTTACTCCTCCTGGTGATTCATGTGGCAAATTGTCCGGGCACCCTCGTGAGCTGGACGCCTGGAAGCCATACTTCTCTTCTAGAGGCTCGTGTTCATCTACTACAAAGGCCCATGACCCTCCATCTGAGGCCCACCCCATCCTCAGTCCTGCCCAACAGGGCTCTCCCTCCCTTGCACAAGACCCTAAGGCAGGCCAGCCCTGGGTACTTCCCGCCAGGCTCCCTGCCCTTCTCAGTCCCAGAGAGCGCCATCTTCAATGAAGTCACAAGCATGACAGGCCTTTGCTCAGAGCGAACCACCCTAGCCAAGTCTTCAGAATTGTCCTTCTGGGTTCTCAGTGCCTTAATAGGTCAGTGACAGGCTAACTCGGGGGACAAGCAAGGCTTCAGCCTGGGGGCAAATAGAAAGTAGTGGCGCTGTGGTGACTCTGTTGTGTTTCCCTCATCAGTGGAGCCAGGTTGGAGACTGGAATGCCTTCAGGTGTGTCCAACCTGGAGCTGTAAACTTGTACATTGCTTAAACATTGCAAGGTTATTTTTATCTTATTTATTTGGTTTTTGTTATTGCTGTTGTTTGGAGACAGGGTTTCTCTGTGTAGACCTGGCCATCCTGGAACTCACTCTGTAGACCAGGCTGGCCTTGAACTCACAGAGGTCTGCCTGGTTCTGCCTCCGTAGTGCTGGGATTAACGGTGTGCACCGCCACTGCTGGGCTACTTTTGCATTTTTTTTTTGTAACATGAGTTCATGGTTATCAGGCATGGGCAGTGTCATTTTGCGATGTCAAAAGGTTGGACATAGGCATTCTGCATTTTCATTTTAGCTGGGTTTGGGGGGACTGTGGCTACAGGTGACCTCCCTTGCTTTGCCCTTCATACCCCAGGATGCATCCCTCTTGACAGGTGACCGATGGAGCTAAGTCCCGTGCAAGGTGATGGGTATGGCCCCCCTTGGGAAGCTACCTTCCAGAAGCTTCAGTACTGGAAGGAATGGTGCAGGTGAGTCTCCTGACTGGCTGACACTTGCCATGTTAAGAACCTGCACTTCTATAACTCTTAGTCAGCCACTGCCTCTTCGATGGAACAAATTACATCTGCCCATGGCTGAGCCTGGGAGCTACGTAAGCCCAGGTCGACTCCATGCCCTCGCTTTGTTACTGTGTCCTACTGCACTGAGTCTATTTCTCTGTGTGTAAGTAGGGACCTCATAGAATCCTCCCTTCAGGGAGGGTCAGGTGAGCCCCTGTGTATAAAGCCCAGCGTGGCAGCCTAACACCCTGAAGCTGTAGACAGGG